ATCCATCTATCTATCTATCTATCTATCTATCTATCTATCTATCTATCTATCTATCTATCTATCTATCTATCTATCTATCTATAAAATTACCATAACAATGTAATTGTTACATGTATATTACATGTACCTCAACAATTTTGCACCTCTCAGATCATCAGATAGTGTGTGAGTTGGGGTGTTTGTAGTATTCTTAATATCTAAGAACAGTATTATTATGCTCCATTGACACACTAATTTTGTTGTGATGGATATATTATAATACATGATTTATAGACTTCATACTGAATATGCAAATTACTGCAATCGACTGATGGTATGAAGTGGCAAGTGTTTGTCAAAGGGAATAATTTATATTTATTTTAAAAGAAAATTATATTTGTTTGATGCCGTAGCGCAGGTATTGGTAACATTCCGACCTTCTAACTAGGGAGTACCAATATGGCGGCTGGTGACTTCATAGCAACGTGTACTATGAACAAACAAGTGGTTAGCCATTGAATAAATAGAGATCAGTGGTTCTACCTACTGTCAGAATCAAATAACACTGAGAAAATTTCACAACTTTTAATTATGTCCTGATTTCTTGAATGGAGTTTGTATTCCGATCCTGGCAGAGCGTTGTTATGACTTTGACATGTTCACCATTTTCAATCAAAGCCTTTTATTACCTTTTTTGCAATAGAAACCCTTTTTGGATGACCACAAACCTTTAGAGCTTTTTCTTCCTCTAAGGGGTGTCAGTGTGTCTGCTGGGTAACAGTGCCCAACCACATTACAATGGGAACACATCACAGATAATGTTGCTGGTTTTATGGGCTTTGTGAAGAGATCAATATCAGTGAGTATGGACAGATCCGTTTCCCAGAACGTTTCGCTCTCATCTGCTGATTGTCCTGGACAACCTTCAACCGAAGGTCATCATTACTCTGGTCTAATGGGGTTATCCAGACTCTTAATGTGGCATATAAACTCTATGTTGTTATTACCAAACGTCACGTCACCACACTGTGTGTCTCTGCTGAATCTGGCTTCAAAAACCTCGTTTATTCTCAACATGAGTCGCACAACTGAGCGTCTGGAGCGCACTTCATCCACGTCTGACCCGTTAATCTCGCCTGACTGGACTCAGTCTCATGCTAATAAAGATCCATTTTCTTTTCTCTGCCTCCCTTCGGTTCTCATGTGCGTCCCTATTCTTGCAGAGCAAACTTGGAGACTGAAACAATGTGTGGACGAGTTCATAGAAGTCCAAAAAGAAGCTGAAGTGCATTCAGTTGGCTTGTCACGTGACATTTTCCTTTGTGTATTAAACAAACTTCCCTTGTGCCATTTGCCTCAGATGTCTACTGGCAGATGAGCTTTGACTTTGATGATACAAGCTCTCCAGTCAGGGCTTTAGGAGCTGACTCTAGTCTAAACACAAGAAAAATTTTACTAGAAAGGAAGTAACGAATATCTTTTTTTTTTTTCAAATAACAAATGAATCAACATATTCTCTTAGGAATAACCTTGTTGTGAAAAGCAGACGCGCCCTTTCAGTTTTTTAGAAGGATGGGCGTTTCTGCGATTCTCCTCGCTGCAAGGTGCCTTCCTTCCCAGGATAGAGACGCTTTATGACAGTCCTGCAAACTAAAGGGTGCTTTATTTGAGCTGCATGATAACTGCTGTCTTTCAGGGACCTGCAGACCACAGCCAGCGCGACAGCTTTATGTTTAAAACTAGTGGATTTTATATTTTTGTGCAGGGTAATTTTGATTTAAATTTGCACCAGATATTTACAGCGATAAAAAATCAATTGTGTTGACTATGTAAATATCACATTCGAAGGACCTGCAGAAATACAACTGCATAAAAACTGCAGTTTAAGAGAATGCCATATTAGCCTACTTTACTAGTACTACTATGATACTCTTCCTAAATCTTGAGTCAAATAGTGCAATGGGAGGGATGCATTACTGCCTTTCTGCGGACATTAATGAAGACTCCCCGCGTGAAATTTGCAGCCCATAGCAGAAAATTGCCGATCTGTCCAACAAGTGTCCGATTTCCCCGCTTCTGTTTCGGTACTTATCCGTGAAAGTGGGGAAGAATAAAAGATTGGATGCATGCATTGCTTTTTAAATTTTTCGTTTAGAAGGAGGAAAAGCTGCATGCGAAAAAAAGAGAGCTCCATGAACAACTAGAAAAAACAAAACAAAAAAACAATTAGCTTTCATTGTTTTACACCTCTTTGTAATTAACATGTTTATTGCTTCCCTTCATTTGTTTAACATTTTTGTTATCTTTATTTTATATTCTTTAGCTTTGCATTTAAAAACAACACAGAACGTAGGCTGTTTAACTAAATGTTTTGTAACAGAGAAAATTTTATCTTTCAAAGTGACTCTCTACCACAAGAGCCTATGTGGGGTGGATGTGCGGAATGTTGTTAAAACAAAATATAAATAAATTTTCAAAGCATACATATTCATTTTGTGGGAGAGGAGGCAACTGTAAAAAGCAAAAATTTATCTACCAGGTATCTATTTTCATATAGTTATTTATTTATTTATTTTTTATGTATATGGACACGTTTTTTGCATTTGATACATTTGTACATAAGAAGAGATTGTTCACGTGGTGACGCAATATTAACTAATGGTGTTGATGTGTTAATGGTTTATCTAAGCAAAATATAATCCCACCTACAGTATATGGGTTGTTTATATCAAGATAAAAAAATATATATGAAAAGCCCTCTGAGAACGTCTTTCAGTGAGAACTGGGAAGTGCTAAAATCAAATGTGCTAACAGCTAACGTTTAATAATGTCAGTATAGCTGATCTAGTCTGAAAAAAGGTTGTCATTCACAAATTAAATTATTATTTTTTATTTAGGACATACCCGATGAGCAAAAACGATCTTAATAGAATAAACTGAGCTTAATAGATAATTAAATTGCACATTTTGATACCTTAGTTTAAACTTTATATTTATGGGTTAAGTTGTGACATCTGTTTAGAAAATACACTTTCAAGAAACCCTGTTTTCTTTGGAAGTTTTTTTCTATTTTATGTAATTTTTTCTGGGTTATTGGTTCCTTTGGTTCAAAAACCACGTGGACGAATATAAGGTGCTTTGTCCCTTTCCAAAGTTTGAAAAAGCCTTTTCTACTTTGTATCAGTTTTAAGACTTCACTCATTGTTAGGACTTATTGTTGTACATCTCTGAGAGAAATGCAACACTTTAAAAGTCGCACCAGGAGGAATTCTGCAAATTGGCATTTCAACATATTTTTGTTGTATACGTTTTATCTAGTGATGAAGACAAACACAAGTCAGAAATACAAGGACGTCATATTCTGATTACTAAATGGGATCAAATCAAGACCTAATATTTGAATGGTCACAGAAAAAGCTTAAACAAATCAGATATTCACAGATTCACAGTTTTATTATACAAATTAATCCCTATTTTACAATTTTTATTAACAAAATGATACATACATTGTTTTAAAATGAATTTCAAAAAGGCATAGTGCAATTATAAACATCCAGGTTCCTATCAGTTCACCAAGGCCGCCACACATTGAGCTCTTTGTTCTCAGCTTCTTGCCCAAGGCTGACGAACTCTGGGATCTTGTGACTGACGCTCTCGGGCTCTATGCTTCTGGCGGGAATTTTCTCCCCCAAAACATCATTCGGTTTGGACTCAAATAACTGATACTTGTCTACACTGGGTGAAGAGGAAACTGTGTGAGCCGTTTGAGGTTTCGTAAGTGTAGGTTGAACCGGTTTGCTTTCTTCATGTCCATTTAAACACTGCAGTCGTGGGTTCCGCGCTTCCTCCAGGGCGTCGGGGTGGCCTGGGTCGCTGTCCGTGGTGCTGGAGGCTTCACCTCTACGTTGAAAGCGGTACAGTTTGCTGGAGAGCTGCGTCCAGGGCCCACTTCCGTTCAGCTGATCTGCCAACAGCAGGTACTCATTTGCGTTTACAAGACAGCTACGGAAGCCCAGTTGGTAATCACGACACTCAGAAGCACCGACGGAAGCTGCAACAGTGAAAAAAAAAAATCGTTTCATTGACCTTTATAGACTGTAATAGAATGCTTTTCAAGGGCTTTATATTTAAAATAAGCTCGTAACTCACCGTTCTGTATCTTTTGGAGGTTCCTCAGATGTGTCACTGTGAGCTCCAGGATGTCGGCTTTCTCCAGCTTGCGCTTTCGAATCTAAATTAACATTTTAAATACTTATATATAATTGGATCACCAGCCAAAATTTTGATTTCTATTGACTGTATATGTGTTGCTCATACTCACACTGCTGCTGTAGTAGCTCTCCAGAAGCGATTTCAATTCGTCCAGACACTGGTTTATTCGCGCTCTTCGCTTTTTCTCCATGAGTGGTTTTGAAACCTGTAAAAAGTCAGACTTAGGTTAACTTTTATAATTCGCCTTTAAGTTTCAGTCGTTGAATTTAGTTATGCTCGTACCTTGGTTCCGTGTTTGGCCTTTTCCCCACAGTCTGATGTTGCCACCATCCTTTTAATCCTGATGTCGCTTAAAAGTCCGCTTGAAGTTGATCTTTCTCCCTGTCGATATCCCGAGTGGAGGACCAGGAGCAGAGTTATATAGTAGCACCCACTTAACATGTCAATAAAAAAAGAATCCCGCCTGTCTTCCTCGCTCAAATGAGCATCAATGGCGTCATTCACCAGGCTTAACCAATCACCAATGCAGAGAAGCACCAGAAAAGCAAATATTAAAAACAACTTTGAAAGCCAAACACCTTGCAAAAATAACAGTGTAATTTTAGCTTTGTTGCTTTTTCTCGTCCTATATCCAGATTGTATTTAATGTGCTAGACAAAATAAATCATTATGAAGTGTAAGCTAAATGATAAAGTTACAAATTATTTTATTTATTTATTTGTTTATTTATTTTTGATGCATTTAAAGGTGGATTCGACTTGTTACAGCTGCAAGTCTGTAGGCCACTTCTTGTGCAACATTTAGTATTAAAGTCTGAAATTTTGTTGACTTTTCCTATAACTGAAGATCAGCTGAATTGGATAAACAGTGTCTGTAAACAAAAATTCTCATATTTTGGAGGACACTGCAAAGAATGTGTTTTTGTCTGATCTAGACATTTCATTGGAACATACACTGGACATTTTATGGTTTTTGTTCCAATGAAATCTAATGCTCCAGCTTTTTGTGCAAGCAAAAGGTTGTGCAAGTTTTGGCATCTTCTGTCAGACTTTCTTTCCACCCCCCTTAATTGTGTCTTAAAATTATTTCTATCTTCTTACCAGGCTGTTATAAAGCCCGGCTTTCGAGCGACTGTTTACACGAATAGTTATCCCATTCCCTATTGAATAGCTGTCTCATTTTGTAACTTGGTCTGATACCATTTCTTTACCAATATTCTTTGTCTGAAGCCTCATAAAGGTGCATAGAGTTAGAGTATTAGAGTAAACATGGTTGAAAATCGTTTATACTGTATCTACCACTTGTCTATGCGTTAGGGCTACTGTTGCTCTATCAAAAGCAAAATGTGAAAACAGCAAACAGTATGAATATAAATGCAAAGTTCAGTATAGTTCATTGAATAACGTTCGGTTAAGATAAAATGTGCAAAGTTTAAAAGAAGAACATTTGCAAAGTTTAAAAGAAAAAAAAAACGTTTCCTCGCGAAATATAAACAATTTTATAAGCATTTTCTACATTCATGTCAAAATGTGTGTTACTTTGATGAAGGTTATTACAAATAAACCTAATAGTCTACTTACTGTAAGCTAGTGAGCACGCGTCAGAAAACCAACGTGTGGGGGCGCGGAAAAACTCCAGAGGAGCATAAAAATGATAAAGATAACCATAATGGTTACTCTTGCTGTGCAGAGAGAGAAGTGTTGACTCTTGTATTCAATCCTTTATCTGTGAGTTTCACGCCACCTGGTTCAAGGCAGCACCGTGATAATTCTCCAGCATGCCCCCACAAAATGCTGATTTTCTGGTGCCCAAAGTAGTAAAACCATTTGCATATGAGAATCCTGATATCAGACATACTTCTCTATTATATATATACAGTGAACGCATCATAAAAAAACAAAACAAAAAGAAAACAGATAAAACAAACACTTTCTAACAGTATAAAAGGGAAACCTGAGGCTAAAGTATGTTGGGGATGCTTTAAGACTTTTCTAATTCCTTAGCTTTTGTGCGTCAGCAGTTTTTGTCTTCATGCCATGCAGGCTCAGTGAGGCACCGAGGAGAATCGCGGGCCGCCCCTTGTCCTCAGACCCTCGCCTCCCAATTTTCCACACTTCTGCTTGAAAAGGGTTAAGTCTTGGGAAAGTCATGCCACCTTTAACAATGCTGACTCGAGGCGGCCCAGTGCGCATCCTGCATGCTCACACACAGCGTGAAAATACTTAAATGTGATAGAGATCTGTATATATTTTCTCCTCTCCAATGCTAGGCAGAGTGGCATGTCCACGTTCTTAGAGGGATACAAAGAAGTATGGAGGTTTTACTGATCATATAAATAACCAAAGAAAGTTGAATAAAGTCACACCCAATGCATATATAGCAAATTCAAATTAGTCAAATTTTAGAGGTAAACATTTCCTAAAAACTCATGGTTTGAAAATGTATTCCCTTGGATACATTATTAAAGTTGGAATCCAACTTTAAGTTTCAGGGAACAAAATGTTTACATCTCACCCAATTAGAGAAGATTTAGCTATAATCGTGGGCTTTGCATCCTATTGGGACTACATCCATGCAGGGAAAATCACTCAGGTGTCTACAAACATTCATAGACGCGTTGCTTTGTCCCAGTCATTCCTGTGTAGGGGATTGATAGTTCAATATAGGTTTTATTAAGAAATATGATACCATTTTATACCTATAAATGGAGACTAGTTTGCAGTGATGGCGACTGCAGGAACATAAAATGTAGGCTAAATGTGCATAAAAGTAATAAACACGTGAAATGTATCAAAATCTCTGCAGATTTGCTAAAAGCAGATGAATCAGAAACCATATCAAACTTTTTGCCCTTAGACCCCCACTGAAGCAGAGCGATGTCAGCCTTTACAGGAAACACTAATTGGTTAAAAACCGAGAAATTGCTCGCCAAGTCTGTGACGCTATAACGGTGGCATGGATCCTGGTCGAGATGCTCTCCTCTAAGTGGTCTTCCTTTGGTCTTTTGTCTTGGCTTTGTGCCACATTATCTGCGTTTCACGCCTGTTTTTGTCTTTCTTTCTTGCACAGCACCGTGGAGAGAGGATGCTGACGTTGAGTCCTGACACAGCAGCAGTCACCTCTTGATATTCGGCACCACTGAGGAGCTTTCGCCTCTGATTATCCGCTATAATTTCAATTAGTGTTGGCTCTTCCTCTTTAGGTCAAAAAAGGTGGTTTCTAACGCGTGCTCTGCAACATATATATATGCAGCAGCCCTAAAACACACCAGTCCTGCCACATGCTGTTGCACTATCATCTATCCATAAGAAAAGCGCAGCAAGAAACGTGTGCTTTAAATGGGAACAATAATGCCAGTGTCATTAAATGACACGTTAGGTGTATGTTTATAAAAGGGAGCGGGCCTCTTCTGTGGCTCACTTTTCAGCCGCAGGTCATTCATTAACCCTATCGGACCTTTGTTATGGATTCCCGCCGGAGGAGAGGCCAAAAGCGCTCCTGTAATAATTGGACTATTGGGGAACTTGTTAACAACAATTAGTGAGGCAATTATGCAATTACTGCAATAAACGGTTTCTCTGTCGATGTGAAAATGAACGACCATCAATGGCCTGAAATAAGGCAAAGATTTTAACAGATCTCAGAAGATATAAGACTAATATGAAGTTGCAACCTATGTGCCAGTTGATAAATGAATGTAGCATTTGACAAAGGAGACTTCTTAATTCCAAAGAGACACTTTCATTTTCATTCTCACTTATTGCTTAGTTTTTTATAATTATAGCTATGTTGGATACTTCAAAAAGGTTTTCATGTCCGAAAGGAACACTTTTCAGGGTTCGGGGTAAATGTATATATAAAAGATCACATTTGTGCAGTGATGAACTGATGAATGGATTTATAGAAGTCCAAACATTTCTCCACCACCTTAACCTAATTTTACCATTCGCTATTTATCTAGATGGGGATAAAAATACATTAAACAAAAAAACAACAACAAAAAAAAAAAAACAAACAACAACAAAAAAAAAAACAATAACAAAAAAAACAACAAAAAACCCAACTAGAATTAGATGAATGCTTCAAACATGGGAGAGATGAAAATCAAGTATTTCTCGATAAAATAAAAAGAGTTTTCTGTAGATCTATTCTTCTGTCATATAATAAGAAATAAAGCTTCCCCTTCTTGAAGCATTAATATTGGAAAATATTTCCCATTTATTTTAACTTGTGCCCAAAGTGGTTAGGAGCCACCATATTCTACTATCAATACAAATAGATATTCACAATAAGTAAAAAAAAAAAACAAACAAAAAGAAAAATAAGTACATTTTTTTATTTCTGTGGCCACTGTGTTATAGGGATTTAAGTTTTAACATGTTTTGAATGCTTCAGAAGAATACTCTTAAAATATGCGAACATAATTTGTCTCATGGAGAGCGGAGCAAATCGATGAACCGCCTTCTATTCATCTGGACCTGAGGTGTGACCAAACCCTCACTTTGCGTGATTAAAAGAGCGAGAACAGGTTCATGAACAGGTGGACTGGGAGAAAAGGTGAAATATTGGGAGGATTTCACCAGAAGCCACGCGACGAACGTGTTGGGGAACCTCTGATCAAACATCAAATAGGAAAAAAAATGCGTCATGAATTTCTATAGACTGCTCCTCGGGTTATTTAAAGCCTTCTTATTTTGGATTGGCGACACAAAGGCCGCTGTTCTTCTGTGTGTGCCGGAGTTAGCGCATGAAAGGAGGAGAGGCCGCACATTAACATCGCTTTAGGTTTTTCTCAAGGGCCGAAATGAACTAACCAGGAAAGTAACTTTATAACTGCGCTGGAGGATGAAGCCTTTTGTTGGCCTCTGAAGTGAAAGACACAAGAGCCTGACAAAAGGAGTGCGCCTTTGTTAAAGACTGAAGCGCATGGGTATTGATGCGCCTTCAATTGCAAAACATCTGCCATTTACTCTGAAGGAGTAGAGTAGGATTTGAATGAGAATAACAGAGTAGATCTTGGCGCACTACGTTCAGTGGAGTTTAAAACAACAGCCACAAGAGCATTGTTTGATTTAAGGTGATATTAAAACAAATTAATGACTAGATTAGTTTAAATATTTGGACTTTATAATAAGATGTTTGGATTAGGTATATGGATCATGGTATGTTTGAAGAAAATCATATGGCTAACATTTTAATCGGATGTTATAAAAGCCTTCTGTATTCAGTATTCAATAAACCTTTGACTTTTAGTCCATAGAAATTAGAACATTATTACACCAGTTTTAGATAACTGTAAAAATGACCCTAGGTGAGAAAATATATGATTCATGGACCTTGGGTCAGGAAGTAACACTTAAAGAAAATAAAACCAGTTTTTATGAAAATCATGTGTGAGTCCACAAGGAGCTACACTTCAGCAGGGTTGTTTATTTCAGACATTATTTACATTTTTTAAGTAGTCAATTGAGATTTGAATGGAAGATATGTGCAGAAAGAATGATCAGTTTTAGAGCATTATAATGGAATTATCATGTCTAATCTATTAAAACAACAAGATTATATTTATATATAATTGATGTTTAAAAATATTTCGGGATAAGGGGATTATCCGTTTCCCAAATAACCTTTAAACTAATAATCAATATGCTATAGGCTATATGTGAAAGTCTGAAACATAACAAAAATGAGATGCTCCATTTAATTTGTGCAAATAGTAAGGTGTGAATTCTAATTATTATTCACCTATTTTTGTCAATACATGAATTGATTTGTAAACTCATCGCTCTTCAAAAAATATCACAACATACTATTCTAACCAAAAAAATAAAAAAAATGTTGAACTGAGTTCACATAAAATGGCCCAGTTTCAGTTGTACCATCACCAAAACAGCTTATGGCCACCAAACGCAAACATGTAATTGCGCCTTTGAGTTATTTGGCCTGAAATGATGGGTACCTTGCAGGTGTGTTTTTCCCTTTATCCCACCAAGAGAGAAAACCATAATAACCCCCCCCCCCCCCCCCCCCACACACACACACACACACACACACACACTCAAGGCACACACAAATAAAATTGAACAGTATTAAAATACCTATCAATCTATCAATGTGTGTTACAGTAGTTAATAAAAGTCCTGAAATATGTCTTCAAATTATATACTTCAAGCTTATATTAGATGCTAGGGAAAATACATTTAACTAATGAAGCGTTCAATTATACAAAAAGTATTAGAGGTTAGAGTATTACCGAGCTGGGTAAATTGTCGTATATATATATATAATATATATATATTATATATATATATCTATATAGATATATATAGATATATATATATATATAAGATTAATTAAATTGAATTGAATTGACTTCAGACCTAAATAGAGCCTGGAAAAAAGGTGACAGCCTATGGAAAACCGATCTATCTTTACAGCTTCATTAGAAAAACGATTCAACGCACAGGCTTTATGTACTAAATAATGCGTTACAGCGAGGACAGCCTTTTATAATGCAAAACATAGGATAAAATATTATCACCAAATATCAATATCAATAAATAGCTCTCCGTTTTAACATTGACCAATAGGCAACACCACCAATCTCGGATGCTGCTAAGATTAAACCTGTTGGCTGCCATCGTGTGTGGCTAAAGTAACTCTGAAATTGGTATGAAATTGTCAATTTGTAGGTGTCAGCGTCTCGCTCCCTAGAAAGTGCCATATGCCATGCTAAGTGGCACCTTTCACCAATTCGTTCCTAGTTTCACGGTCCGTCCTCCCATTTTTTTAACTTGCCTGGAAGCTGAAAAGCCACAACAAAACGACAATTTACCCAGCAGAATTGCGGCCCCCTATCTACCCCCTGCTGCATGCCTCCTTCCGTTTCACTTGGCAGGACACCCCCTCTGCAGTCCAGCCGAGCATCACTGCGTGAAACTGACTTTCAAACAGAGAAAAAAGGAACAAACAAAAACCCTTAGCAATGCATTATCTTTTAAAACCAGTGCAGCTAAACCTGGTACCCAAAAAAACACAAAGGATTTATACTTTTACAAAATATAGATTGCAGTTACAGAAACCAATTATAAACCTGTCAACTTATTCTAATAAATGTGTTTCCTATACTCAAGGACTGTCATGTGGTTCGCTGCATCTGTTAGAATAGCGCCCTCATGTGGTCATAATATAGATTTTTTAACAATTGCGCCTAAAATGATTAAGAATTGTAGCAAAGCATCTGGGCTTGCACAATTGTACTTTTTTTTTACCATTTATTTTATGAAACAGGCCTTTCATGTCTCGACTCAACCTTACAAATTCATTTCTTTATCACACAATACAATGGCCCGAAAGCCTTCAGTATGTGTGGGTTCTCTATGGGTACTTCAGCTTCTTCCCGAAGTCCAGAAACTATTGTTAAAATAATTGGAGTCTCTAAATGATTTTGTGTCTCTGTATTGTCCTATGACAGACTGATGACCTGTCCATGGTGTACCCTCTTTTTGCCCAAACTGGAGAAAGGGAAACCAGCCCCACTGTGACCCTGACAGATAAGCAGATGATGGATGGATTTTTGTTAGGTTTATACAAGTTTAAAATTAAATTGAGTGAAAAAATGTTAGTAACATGACTTGTTTCCTTTGAGAAAGGTTTTTTTAATTTGACATTTGTGCTTAACTAGTTAGACACAATGGATTTTTTGTTCCAAAATAAATGACACACTGCAAGCTTCAAGAGACTAGGGCCTTATAACAAAAAAAGACAAAATATGTGGGGAAAATCAGGATTGTTTACCAGAAATTAAACAACATGTCTCCATCATCATCACAGTCGCAGGAGCTATAAGTTTTGGTAGAATCAGAAGAGAATGCACCATAAGCAAGAGACCTAGATTGTGGATGATCTAAAGAGATTTTTAAAATATAAATAATTTGTCTGCTTCTGTCACATCAGGAAAAATGGGAAGGTACAAAGTATTACAAACAGGGGTCTCCAAAAATTGCACCACAGCTAAATTCATTCAAACAATATTCATGAAATAGGATACCACCATCAGAAAAATAAGCAAATAAATAAAACAAATACATAAAGGGTGGCTAAATTATACAAATATTTAACCAGTACTAGAATATTTTTGGGAAAACCTACTGACTTATTGTTTTAGTATAGTTTTGAATCTGACCCTGGAAGTATTGTTGTGTGTTTTTGTGAGACTGAAAAATTATGATGTAACATTTTGGTAGAAAATACCACAGCAAAAAGAAATAGAGACTACAGAGCACTGCAAGGGCATTGAAAGTTTGGATGAACTTCCCATGGTAAAGTATGTAGATGGTAATAAACAAGATCCAGGTGACGGTAAACAGTAGCAGGCAAAAGGTTATGGATTTGGCTTCATTGTAATTCTTGGGGAGGTCTTTTCCCATGTAGGAGAAAATAAAGCAAAGGCAGCTCAAAACTACAACTAAAACAAAAGTGCCAGAGGTTGCTTCAAGATTCAAAGTGCAGAAAAGCACAATTTGGTCTTGGTACCATGATGTTTCATTGTACAATATGGGTGGATCATATGCAAAGCTAATAGCAAGTAGGAGGGTCTGAACTGTAAAAGCTCCAGCAATGACTAACCACTGGCCGTGATATTTTTTCCACCAGATTTGGAGTTTGGGAAACTTTGTGGCTATTTTGAAAATGAAAATAATCTGAAAAGAGCGAACAACAAAACATGCAAGACAGACTGTGTAAAACAACAGAAAAGGAAAGTACCTGAGAATGCATGAAATATTTGTGGGCTTGCCAAAGTAAAAGAACACACTAACAGAACACAAAATGAGGCAACCTAAAATCAGGAAGCACATTGGTCCTCCAGCAGATCTGACAACAGGTGTGTTATAGTTTAAGGCAAAGAGAACGGAAATGGCTCCAGTGAGGCCCACTAAGATGCCGGCTCCAGCCATGATCAACAAAGCCGACATCTCTGTGTATGACACATACTCCACCAGCCGTGGGTTGCATGATGTACTTCCTTCTTTAGACCACTCCGTCTCCTTACAGCTAATGCAG